TGTGATCGGGAAAAACATATGATGACTGTTGTATACATAACTTAATATCCGAAGTAAACTTTTTGGTTGGGTCAGACTCCAATAGCTCAAAGTCATCACCTTGGATAACATCGTTAACTTTCTGGCTGTACCCACTACTCTCCATAATAACAACAGTATTGCCTTTATCGGCTTTAGTAACAATAAGGTCGTTTTCCCTTATTCTCTGCTTTAGAGACTTAAAAACAGGGAACTCAGGATTGAAATGGGAAGACGTGGGCACAGCCCGAATTTCATTAGCTACCAAACTTTTAACGATGTTATCTTTCTTCCCGATCACAACAGCCACCTCCGCGTCAACAGCCATAGTCTCTAACGATTTTTGGGAGACCGAAGGTGTTAAATTATACTTTAGGCCTTTATGTAAAAGGGACCACTCATCTGTTGGAAACTGGACATCGGAAAGATTTTTAACTCGGGGATAAAATTGGTGATATTCTGTATGTATGTCGTTATTACGATTACGGGATGAAGAGGATACAAGTCGTTGTAATTTACGGGACTGAATTTGATATTTCTCATAAACAGCCATTGAAGCAAGTTCTCTGGCTTTTCCATCCAAAATATCAAATTCAATATTATGTAATTTATATGAAAGTTCAGAGTATAATACTTTAAGGTGGATTTTTAAATTATCTCTATTGGAAAACCAACGACGACACTCCTCATTAAGCCAAATGTTCTGAGCTTTAGAAATAGCAATACTGGCCGCTCGACTATTTGTGCTGGAACGTATTTGAATATAATTGGGAATAACATGAAGTTGTTTGCACTGCTGATTGAACCAAACATTTTGGGCAGCAATACGATGGAGTTTTGTTAATTTCACATAGAGTCTTGCCTGGTCGGCCGTGCTAGCCTTTTTAATATAATTAATAGAATCAGGCGTTACTTTGCGGAAATCCATTATATAAAAGCTTTTACAAAAATTTACTTCGCAAATATCCGCGTTATAAAATAAAATGATGTGTCTTACCTAGTATGAAGAAGCACCTCCCGCCCTCCCTCAATTGCGTGCACTAACCCCGTCACCACTAATCCCAGCACCGCTACTTCCAACACCACTACACTAGGCAAGACACACCACTGACGATAATACGACACGTGTTTCGCCTCTACACGAGGCATCCTCAGGTGATATAGACTCTACGGTGGCTAACCGCTAAGTGAGCGGCGAGCCAAAACAAGTGCCTTTTATACAAACCGATGATGCAACCGCTCTCTACCTAACGAGCGAGCGATTGCGTCATGCGATAAAACATGCGACCAATCACCGCTGGACTTACGCAGCCGTTTGTAAAAATTAAAAACAAACCGCCGCGCACCGCCCACATTATTAGTGAGCAGGCTTGAAGATATTTAAGAGAGGTGAGTTAGTAACATTTGTTTGTTCATTCAGCAATGCAACGGTATTATTATTACTTTTTAATATCTCTAACTGTTCCAGCACACACAGACGCAGCCCTTTATTACACGTATGTAAGACTTTAAAGGAGTGGTCGTTGGCTAGGTTGTGTCCAGTGTCCAAAAGATGTTTGGCAAAATGGGATTTATCGGGATTGCAATTCCTGTACGCGGCTAAATGCTCTTTATAACGTGTCTCGAAATTGCGACCAGTCTGACCCACGTAAACGGCGTGGCATTCGTCACAAACAAGTTTGTAAACACCTGACTTTTGACGAATATCTAACTTATCTTTACTATTACAGATATTTCTAAGAGAATTGTTTGTTTTGAACGCGACATGAACGCCGTTTTGTCGAAGAGTATTAGCTACTTTTTCAGATATGGGGCCTAAGTAGGTCAAACTGCTCACATATCGATGAACACTTTGAGGTTGAACCGCGTACAGAGAGTTGCGAATAACATGCTTTTGTTTCTTTTTAATTAAATTGTTAATGAGATTTTTTGAAAAACCGTTAGAGACCGCTATTTGATAAATTATATTAAGTTCTTTTAAATAATTTTCTTTACTTAATGGGACAGTGAACAAACGGTTAATGTAACAATAAAAAGCGGCTACTTTATGTTGCCATGGATGACATGATGACGCGGGGATGACCGTGTCGGTGTGAGTTGGCTTTCGATAAATTTGGAAAACATGTGACGATTCTTTTCTTGTTATTGTTAAGTCAAGAAAATTAAGGGAACAATCTTGTTCCAATTCAAGTTTAAATTTAATTTTGTCATGGACTCTATTTATTTTATTGAGGAAAACATCCATTGCTGGACTGGCACAAGGAGACAACTGGATGTTTTCCTCAATAAAATAAATAGAGTCCATGACAAAATTAAATTTAAACTTGAATTGGAACAAGATTGTTCCCTTAATTTTCTTGACTTAACAATAACAAGAAAAGAATCGTCACATGTTTTCCAAATTTATCGAAAGCCAACTCACACCGACACGGTCATCCCCGCGTCATCATGTCATCCATGGCAACATAAAGTAGCCGCTTTTTATTGTTACATTAACCGTTTGTTCACTGTCCCATTAAGTAAAGAAAATTATTTAAAAGAACTTAATATAATTTATCAAATAGCGGTCTCTAACGGTTTTTCAAAAAATCTCATTAACAATTTAATTAAAAAGAAACAAAAGCATGTTATTCGCAACTCTCTGTACGCGGTTCAACCTCAAAGTGTTCATCGATATGTGAGCAGTTTGACCTACTTAGGCCCCATATCTGAAAAAGTAGCTAATACTCTTCGACAAAACGGCGTTCATGTGGCGTTCAAAACAAACAATTCTCTTAGAAATATCTGTAATAGTAAAGATAAGTTAGATATTCGTCAAAAGTCAGGTGTTTACAAACTTGTTTGTGACGAATGCCACGCCGTTTACGTGGGTCAGACTGGTCGCAATTTCGAGACACGTTATAAAGAGCATTTAGCCGCGTACAGGAATTGCAATCCCGATAAATCCCATTTTGCCAAACATCTTTTGGACACTGGACACAACCTAGCCAACGACCACTCCTTTAAAGTCTTACATACGTGTAATAAAGGGCTGCGTCTGTGTGTGCTGGAACAGTTAGAGATATTAAAAAGTAATAATAATACCGTTGCATTGCTGAATGAACAAACAAATGTTACTAACTCACCTCTCTTAAATATCTTCAAGCCTGCTCACTAATAATGTGGGCGTTGCGCGGCGGTTTGTTTTTAATTTTTACAAACGGCTGCGTAAGTCCAGCGGTGATTGGTCGCATGTTTTATCGCATGACGCAATCGCTCGCTCGTTAGGTAGAGAGCGGTTGCATCATCGGTTTGTATAAAAGGCACTTGTTTTGGCTCGCCGCTCACTTAGCGGTTAGCCACCGTAGAGTCTATATCACCTGAGGATGCCTCGTGTAGAGGCGAAACACGTGTCGTATTATCGTCAGTGGTGTGTCTTGCCTAGTGTAGTGGTGTTGGAAGTAGCGGTGCTGGGATTAGTGGTGACGGGGTTAGTGCACGCAATTGAGGGAGGGCGGGAGGTGCTTCTTCATACTAGGTAAGACACATCATTTTATTTTATAACGCGGATATTTGCGAAGTAAATTTTTGTAAAAGCTTTTATATAATGGATTTCCGCAAAGTAACGCCTGATTCTATTAATTATATTAAAAAGGCTAGCACGGCCGACCAGGCAAGACTCTATGTGAAATTAACAAAACTCCATCGTATTGCTGCCCAAAATGTTTGGTTCAATCAGCAGTGCAAACAACTTCATGTTATTCCCAATTATATTCAAATACGTTCCAGCACAAATAGTCGAGCGGCCAGTATTGCTATTTCTAAAGCTCAGAACATTTGGCTTAATGAGGAGTGTCGTCGTTGGTTTTCCAATAGAGATAATTTAAAAATCCACCTTAAAGTATTATACTCTGAACTTTCATATAAATTACATAATATTGAATTTGATATTTTGGATGGAAAAGCCAGAGAACTTGCTTCAATGGCTGTTTATGAGAAATATCAAATTCAGTCCCGTAAATTACAACGACTTGTATCCTCTTCATCCCGTAATCGTAATAACGACATACATACAGAATATCACCAATTTTATCCCCGAGTTAAAAATCTTTCCGATGTCCAGTTTCCAACAGATGAGTGGTCCCTTTTACATAAAGGCCTAAAGTATAATTTAACACCTTCGGTCTCCCAAAAATCGTTAGAGACTATGGCTGTTGACGCGGAGGTGGCTGTTGTGATCGGGAAGAAAGATAACATCGTTAAAAGTTTGGTAGCTAATGAAATTCGGGCTGTGCCCACGTCTTCCCATTTCAATCCTGAGTTCCCTGTTTTTAAGTCTCTAAAGCAGAGAATAAGGGAAAACGACCTTATTGTTACTAAAGCCGATAAAGGCAATACTGTTGTTATTATGGAGAGTAGTGGGTACAGCCAGAAAGTTAACGATGTTATCCAAGGTGATGACTTTGAGCTATTGGAGTCTGACCCAACCAAAAAGTTTACTTCGGATATTAAGTTATGTATACAACAGTCATCATATGTTTTTCCCGATCACAACTTGTCTCGGAGCAATCTTGTTCCAATGAATCCTCAAGCACCCATTTTATATGGGTTACCAAAAATACATAAAGAACATGTTCCTATTCGTCCAGTTGTCTCATATATTGGTGCACCAGCTTATTTCCTTGCTAAAAAAATTAAACTTCCTCCTTCGAGAGAAATCTGGATTTAACCCCACTTACAGCCTAAAAAATGGCTTAGATCTCATTTCCAAAATTAAAGATATTCGTATTCCTCCTAAATCCATATTGTTATCTTTAGACGTTGATAGTCTTTTCACAAATGTCCCATCCCCTGACTGTTTGCGTATACTCGCAGATCTCTTTGAAAAACGTCGTCTACATCCCGGGGAAACAAATGATCTTCTTAACTTAACCTCTCTCTGTATGAAACAAAACTATTTCCGGTTTAATAACCGTTTCTATCTACAAAAAGAAGGGTTAGCTATGGGGTCCCCTCTAAGTCCCCTTATGGCGGACATTTTCATGGATAATTTCGAAAAACAACATATAGTTGTCAATCAAAATATCTTATATTACTATCGATATGTAGACGACATAATTATTTGCTGGACTGGCACAAGGAGACAACTGGATGTTTTCCTCAATAAAATAAATAGAGTCCATGACAAAATTAAATTTAAACTTGAATTGGAACAAGATTGTTCCCTTAATTTTCTTGACTTAACAATAACAAGAAAAGAATCGTCACATGTTTTCCAAATTTATCGAAAGCCAACTCACACCGACACGGTCATCCCCGCGTCATCATGTCATCCATGGCAACATAAAGTAGCCGCTTTTTATTGTTACATTAACCGTTTGTTCACTGTCCCATTAAGTAAAGAAAATTATTTAAAAGAACTTAATATAATTTATCAAATAGCGGTCTCTAACGGTTTTTCAAAAAATCTCATTAACAATTTAATTAAAAAGAAACAAAAGCATGTTATTCGCAACTCTCTGTACGCGGTTCAACCTCAAAGTGTTCATCGATATGTGAGCAGTTTGACCTACTTAGGCCCCATATCTGAAAAAGTAGCTAATACTCTTCGACAAAACGGCGTTCATGTGGCGTTCAAAACAAACAATTCTCTTAGAAATATCTGTAATAGTAAAGATAAGTTAGATATTCGTCAAAAGTCAGGTGTTTACAAACTTGTTTGTGACGAATGCCACGCCGTTTACGTGGGTCAGACTGGTCGCAATTTCGAGACACGTTATAAAGAGCATTTAGCCGCGTACAGGAATTGCAATCCCGATAAATCCCATTTTGCCAAACATCTTTTGGACACTGGACACAACCTAGCCAACGACCACTCCTTTAAAGTCTTACATACGTGTAATAAAGGGCTGCGTCTGTGTGTGCTGGAACAGTTAGAGATATTAAAAAGTAATAATAATACCGTTGCATTGCTGAATGAACAAACAAATGTTACTAACTCACCTCTCTTAAATATCTTCAAGCCTGCTCACTAATAATGTGGGCGTTGCGCGGCGGTTTGTTTTTAATTTTTACAAACGGCTGCGTAAGTCCAGCGGTGATTGGTCGCATGTTTTATCGCATGACGCAATCGCTCGCTCGTTAGGTAGAGAGCGGTTGCATCATCGGTTTGTATAAAAGGCACTTGTTTTGGCTCGCCGCTCACTTAGCGGTTAGCCACCGTAGAGTCTATATCACCTGAGGATGCCTCGTGTAGAGGCGAAACACGTGTCGTATTATCGTCAGTGGTGTGTCTTGCCTAGTGTAGTGGTGTTGGAAGTAGCGGTGCTGGGATTAGTGGTGACGGGGTTAGTGCACGCAATTGAGGGAGGGCGGGAGGTGCTTCTTCATACTAGGTAAGACACATCATTTTATTTTATAACGCGGATATTTGCGAAGTAAATTTTTGTAAAAGCTTTTATATAATGGATTTCCGCAAAGTAACGCCTGATTCTATTAATTATATTAAAAAGGCTAGCACGGCCGACCAGGCAAGACTCTATGTGAAATTAACAAAACTCCATCGTATTGCTGCCCAAAATGTTTGGTTCAATCAGCAGTGCAAACAACTTCATGTTATTCCCAATTATATTCAAATACGTTCCAGCACAAATAGTCGAGCGGCCAGTATTGCTATTTCTAAAGCTCAGAACATTTGGCTTAATGAGGAGTGTCGTCGTTGGTTTTCCAATAGAGATAATTTAAAAATCCACCTTAAAGTATTATACTCTGAACTTTCATATAAATTACATAATATTGAATTTGATATTTTGGATGGAAAAGCCAGAGAACTTGCTTCAATGGCTGTTTATGAGAAATATCAAATTCAGTCCCGTAAATTACAACGACTTGTATCCTCTTCATCCCGTAATCGTAATAACGACATACATACAGAATATCACCAATTTTATCCCCGAGTTAAAAATCTTTCCGATGTCCAGTTTCCAACAGATGAGTGGTCCCTTTTACATAAAGGCCTAAAGTATAATTTAACACCTTCGGTCTCCCAAAAATCGTTAGAGACTATGGCTGTTGACGCGGAGGTGGCTGTTGTGATCGGGAAGAAAGATAACATCGTTAAAAGTTTGGTAGCTAATGAAATTCGGGCTGTGCCCACGTCTTCCCATTTCAATCCTGAGTTCCCTGTTTTTAAGTCTCTAAAGCAGAGAATAAGGGAAAACGACCTTATTGTTACTAAAGCCGATAAAGGCAATACTGTTGTTATTATGGAGAGTAGTGGGTACAGCCAGAAAGTTAACGATGTTATCCAAGGTGATGACTTTGAGCTATTGGAGTCTGACCCAACCAAAAAGTTTACTTCGGATATTAAGTTATGTATACAACAGTCATCATATGTTTTTCCCGATCACAACTTGTCTCGGAGCAATCTTGTTCCAATGAATCCTCAAGCACCCATTTTATATGGGTTACCAAAAATACATAAAGAACATGTTCCTATTCGTCCAGTTGTCTCATATATTGGTGCACCAGCTTATTTCCTTGCTAAAAAATTAAACTTCCTCCTTCGAGAGAAATCTGGATTTAACCCCACTTACAGCCTAAAAAATGGCTTAGATCTCATTTCCAAAATTAAAGATATTCGTATTCCTCCTAAATCCATATTGTTATCTTTAGACGTTGATAGTCTTTTCACAAATGTCCCATCCCCTGACTGTTTGCGTATACTCGCAGATCTCTTTGAAAAACGTCGTCTACATCCCGGGGAAACAAATGATCTTCTTAACTTAACCTCTCTCTGTATGAAACAAAACTATTTCCGGTTTAATAACCGTTTCTATCTACAAAAAGAAGGGTTAGCTATGGGGTCCCCTCTAAGTCCCCTTATGGCGGACATTTTCATGGATAATTTCGAAAAACAACATATAGTTGTCAATCAAAATATCTTATATTACTATCGATATGTAGACGACATAATTATTTGCTGGACTGGCACAAGGAGACAACTGGATGTTTTCCTCAATAAAATAAATAGAGTCCATGACAAAATTAAATTTAAACTTGAATTGGAACAAGATTGTTCCCTTAATTTTCTTGACTTAACAATAACAAGAAAAGAATCGTCACATGTTTTCCAAATTTATCGAAAGCCAACTCACACCGACACGGTCATCCCCGCGTCATCATGTCATCCATGGCAACATAAAGTAGCCGCTTTTTATTGTTACATTAACCGTTTGTTCACTGTCCCATTAAGTAAAGAAAATTATTTAAAAGAACTTAATATAATTTATCAAATAGCGGTCTCTAACGGTTTTTCAAAAAATCTCATTAACAATTTAATTAAAAAGAAACAAAAGCATGTTATTCGCAACTCTCTGTACGCGGTTCAACCTCAAAGTGTTCATCGATATGTGAGCAGTTTGACCTACTTAGGCCCCATATCTGAAAAAGTAGCTAATACTCTTCGACAAAACGGCGTTCATGTGGCGTTCAAAACAAACAATTCTCTTAGAAATATCTGTAATAGTAAAGATAAGTTAGATATTCGTCAAAAGTCAGGTGTTTACAAACTTGTTTGTGACGAATGCCACGCCGTTTACGTGGGTCAGACTGGTCGCAATTTCGAGACACGTTATAAAGAGCATTTAGCCGCGTACAGGAATTGCAATCCCGATAAATCCCATTTTGCCAAACATCTTTTGGACACTGGACACAACCTAGCCAACGACCACTCCTTTAAAGTCTTACATACGTGTAATAAAGGGCTGCGTCTGTGTGTGCTGGAACAGTTAGAGATATTAAAAAGTAATAATAATACCGTTGCATTGCTGAATGAACAAACAAATGTTACTAACTCACCTCTCTTAAATATCTTCAAGCCTGCTCACTAATAATGTGGGCGTTGCGCGGCGGTTTGTTTTTAATTTTTACAAACGGCTGCGTAAGTCCAGCGGTGATTGGTCGCATGTTTTATCGCATGACGCAATCGCTCGCTCGTTAGGTAGAGAGCGGTTGCATCATCGGTTTGTATAAAAGGCACTTGTTTTGGCTCGCCGCTCACTTAGCGGTTAGCCACCGTAGAGTCTATATCACCTGAGGATGCCTCGTGTAGAGGCGAAACACGTGTCGTATTATCGTCAGTGGTGTGTCTTGCCTAGTGTAGTGGTGTTGGAAGTAGCGGTGCTGGGATTAGTGGTGACGGGGTTAGTGCACGCAATTGAGGGAGGGCGGGAGGTGCTTCTTCATACTAGGTAAGACACATCATTTTATTTTATAACGCGGATATTTGCGAAGTAAATTTTTGTAAAAGCTTTTATACCATTTTTTTTGCTGACGTTGCGAGGTCTTTGGTCTTTTGTCGGTAACTGTCCTTCTGAGTAGACCCATACCTATGATTACCTTTTATTTTCTGAATCATATTTATAGTTCCATGTCTCGTCACCAGTAAGGATTTCTGAAATCACACCTAGATGCCCGTTTTCAAAACGTAGACGCATTTCAGGGCACCAATCCACACGAATCTGTTTTTCGCTTTCGGAGCGCCAACGAGGGATCCATCGACAACAAAGTTTCCTCACTCCAAGGTGTTGATGCAGGATGGTATGAATGCTCCCCGAACTAATGCCTACAATCTTTTCGATGTCCTTATATGTGATACGTGGGTCCAACCAACCAACATTTGAGTAGTTCACACATTTTCTGCCGTTACTGCTGTTTGCGGGGCCTCGGTTCTTTGGTCATCTTTAGGATTAATTCTACCCTTTTTGAATTCAGCAAACCACCTTAAAATTGATGGAGATGAGTCCCCTCATGCTGACTCTAACCGTTGTAAACTTAATTGTTCTATTAAACCCAATTTAAAATCATAATATATCATAGCGCGCAAATGTTCACGGTTAAGATGCATCGTTTTAAATGAAAAGCGCGGTAAGCGTTGCAGGAAAATTAACAGAACTTAGTTTTTTTTTAAATATTGAGCAATCGGCTTATGGATTTAGCCGATTTTTATTATTATTTTTTATTTATATTTCCATTTTTTTAGAAACATACTATAACATGGGTGGGTTCCATTTTTAAATTTCGAGGATCTCAAAACTTATTGAGTGACCTACGTACCTATACTAATATTAAAAAAAGGATTTTTTGTTTGTTTGTTTGTACCAAATAATCTCCGAAACTACTGGACCGATTTATATACTTTTTCACTAATAAAAAGCTAACGTATCAGGAAGTAACATAGGCTATAATTTGTTTCCAAAGAAAAACTGGGATCCTGAAGAAAATTGCAATAATGTAACTAAAAGTATATTAAGTATAGCAAAATTTTGCCTATAAAATTCAATATTTAGCGTGCGCTGAGAAAACTGTTGATGATATGTAAAAATTATGTACTACATGATTAAAGTACTCATTATTACCTACAAAAACGTCCGCGAGGGAATATATCCTACTATATCATACTTAAGTCACAATAGTGGATTTTATGTTCTAAACTTGAATTAGCTCGCCAGAAATAAAAGTTAGTAACGATTGTAATCGTACTATTGATTCTTATTTAAATTAATAGTTTTATCATCAAGCAGCAGTAAATTACTTTTTAATTCATTCGAATCGGACATTTAATTTCGAAGTTACCACGAGTAGATATAATACGCGCCGCCTTCCCTACTCTATAGAGTGGGCGATGGCCCATGTTGCTCTACGAGTATGTTAGATTGTAGCTTTCATTTCATTTTTTTTTTAAATATTTATGGCACTAAGGGTCCTTATACTGTAGTACCAATAGTTGATGACGGAGCTTGCTTATTTAGGGAAACCTCTTATCTGTTGCATGGGAACCAATTATTGGCAAGATAAATTCGAAATCAAACAGGATTTCGTTATTGCGATTAATTTGTTGTATATTTACAATATCATACATAAGCGTACAGTTTGATGAATTGGTTGCTTGGTTTGTTTTTGGGTTCGTTCGTTAGTTTGTCTGATTGACTGACTAACTAAATGTTTTTATCCAAAATATTTTAAAAAAATAATT